AAGCTGAGACTCTATCCTTTTTATCTACACAGTATCTATAAGTGATGTTATTTACGACTAAATTTGTTTTGTAAATGTAGATAAATAAAGTTCTTTATTATTATAAATACATATCGTAAATACTTGGATGAAAATGTAACTATAGCAGAAAAAATTAACTTTTTTGGAAGCGAAAAATAACTTTCAACTCAAGAGCCCTGGCAACATACATTCGAACCGTTCTCCCATTACGCTACCACCGTTATGAGAAACAGAAATAGCTAATTGAATTATATTTTTTTTACAATATTTCTTTAGCTCTATTGTTAAGATCTATCCTGAATTTTTATAGGTTATATACGAATCTAATAAACCGACCTAAATTGTAGTGACGGATATGATTCCATAATGGCGGCCATACATAAAAGTTAACGAAAAGTTAGATTTTTGGAAAACTACCAAATATATTTAGATATAAAACTATTTTTTCTGATCCATTTTTTTTTTCAAAGAATTATATCAAAAGTAAATTACAAAATCATGAGACTCCAAACTACAAATGAAAATGAACCGAGCTTTAGCTAGCAAGAATTTCGATTTAAACAGCGCCAGATGTTGATCAGTGTCGACCGCAAGAAGGACAAGGATATTTTAAAGCATAACATGAAGAAATCTCGATTCAAAAGTACATATTTCTCGCTTAAAGTAATTCAAGTCAGCAAATAAAATAATAAGCATTTACCCCAGTTTCAAAATAGAACACAGAAACTAAATTCGCAAAGATTATTTTGTTATACAGCCAACACGAAAGTTGATTCAACAATGCCCTCCTAACTAGGTTGCCAGTAATCGTTATGGCATCCGTACAATGAACTCCGCCGGTAAATTGAAGTAACAAATATGCATAATGACCAGGGGTCAAGCTTAGAGGTGTAGTGTACATTACTGAGTCACATCTGAATCCCTTGAAGGTAAACAATAACTGAGTTATGCCTATGCGTAATCGATTGAGAGAATAGATGTTGTAGAGCTGTAACGTTTGGAATATCGATGTATTATAAGAATTATTGTGTATAAAAGTACGATATTGGATAAATTCAGAGGATTAAAACCATCATTCGTCATACCACAAACGTAAACGTTTGTAAACCATTTAACCATAACATATATCAATATGTTGTTGATATGATTTGTATAATTTATTTATGATGATGGTTTTTTTATAAAGCCGGATTTACATTTGTCTGAAGTGTCGTGTCGTGACACGACAGAACGGTATCGGTATGTTTACATTTATATTAGTGTGTCGCTATCTATATATCCGATGTGACAGCTTGTGCTGTGTGTTGTCACACAACAACAAGTCGTGCGCCTGGTGGTAAGCAACACGCCAGTCCATAGCATAGATTTGAAAGGCACTGCCACTGCGCCCGTCACCAAGAGACATAAGTTGGCAAGTCATCTTGTCTGTGATTTCACCAGCACCCTTACCCTTCACAACCGGAACAGAGTACCTAATGCTCACATTACCATATTGCGGCAGAAATACGTAAGGTTACTTCTAAGGGTACTTCCTTGGACGAACTCTTTCACAAGGAGCTCTATTAATTACTGTATTTATACGTTTTTAGATAGGTTTGGTTGCCGATTACTAGAAATGCAGTTGGAAGTAGAAAAAATCAAGTGGGATATAGAAATATAGCAAGTCCTGCAGCAAAATAAGTTGATGACCAACGTCGTTAAAGCCGCGGGACATAAATTGATGAGCCTAGGGCAAGATCGTGCTGGATGGCACAACCTACGGGAAGCCTACACCCAACGGTGGTTGAAGTCGAGCTTTGTATTAATGTTTTTTTTATTTTCTTATATTAAGTGTCAAAATGTGCAACTACTTCCTTCGCACACTTTCACACAGATTTCGTTCATAGCAATTGAAAGAGAGATTGTTATCGATGGACATAAAATTTTTTCGAAATCTTGTGTATGGAATTTGCTTATTTTTATTTTTTTATTTACTTTCCGGATTGTCCGGTCGATGGGTATTAATGTATTATGATCGTATTTTAATTAACAATTGATACAGCTTGGTTCAGATTGTTTTGCAAAAAAATGTGTTTTTTGCAAAAAAAATACCAACAATGGCACCCACGCGAATTATTCCAGCACGCGACCAAAAAACAAACGCCTCCCTTTCAGAGTATAGTATTTCTTTTATTGCCCGAATAAGTCTGCATAATTACACAAAGGGTGAATGCCCGAACAGGGAACAAAACACAAAGCCTTTTGAAACCTTCTTTGAGTCATTGCATAAAAGGAGCTCTGGACCAATTTTTGTTTCATTATTAGGCTTTGTGCAGTATCAGCTAACTCAGAAGCTAATTGCTTTCGGTTTCGTTTCCGATTGGGACCCCACCGCTTGTAATTGAAACAACAGCGGCTATATGCGCTTCATAGGGCCAGGTACAGGCCAGGTGAATGCGCCTGTTTGCGAAAAGCTCTCCAGCCGCACACGCGCGTGACACATATACAGTGTATTTAACTGGACACATGCAAAACGCGTGCAGCGCAAGTGCAGTGCGGCGAGTGCAGTACGGCGCGTGCAGTGCGCGTGCACTCGCCAGATCTGTACGCACCCTTACGCTGTATCATGATAAAGGTTGAAGAAGATGGAGCACTTGTTGCCTTTTTCATTTCAAACTAAAAATCCAATTATATCTTTATTTCATAGGTAAGCAAATTACACTAGAAATCATGCAAGTTAATGCAATGAGTGAGCAAGAGGAAAATACCATGGTATAATAAGACAAGTAGGATAACTCCATACAAACGGTAGCAGCGCGGTTGTATGTATGCACGCCTGACGCGCGCCTTGTATGGATGTACACATTCGCATAATCTCGCGTCGCGTCCTGTTGTTCAACTATAACGCGTGACGACCTTCGTATTAGTGCACCCGGATTACTCAAGTGACATACGTCAACGCGCGTTGTCGCCCGTTACCATATTTGCATAACACAAATTTGTATTAACGGAGGCAGTTCTAGATGAATATACTATAGGCGAAAAACATGACGCGTCGCGACGCTGCCACTATGCGCCAGTGTGAGTTAAGCCTGAAACTTCTAAACCCTTCTAAACAGCTTTTTTTTATAAATAGTAGTGATCAGAATACACCCATAACTGGTCACAGTGATGAAGGCCTGCACAGAGTCATAATAAGCCGTCTTAATAATAATAATACTCCAAATAATTTACGTGCAATTTTATTACGAAATTGACAATATTTACAGGATATATGAGAACTTAATGTATTATTGAATAATTTGTAGCCAACTTCAATATTGTTAAAATATTGAATGTGAAAGCTACAAAAGGATTGAACAGTCAACAGCACATCAAGCTGTACACTTGTGTTTAAATATTGCCT